TTTAACGTATCTAAAATAATTGTTCACATTATTTGTTTTGCTTAGTATTTCATGACTTTTCCTAATTTAGTGAGGACTAATGGGTGAACATATATGAACATGAAGATCTTTTTTAAATGTCCTGTACGCACTTTGTATGCATCGGTGTTCCTTCGGGTCAATTTGACCCCAGGCTGTTTTAGTAGTATAAAACATGTAAAAATGTCAACATTTTGCACATTTTGTTGATTGTGTAGGATGATATTGAGGTGACTATTACATGCAAATGTATCATTGTAAAAAAAGAACTACCCTCTGCTTTAGTTATTGGTCCTTTAACAACATTAACAATATCTAACTTTAACATTTGATTTCAGTCAGTGAGATTTGATGGTGATTTATATATTTTTCGATGGTCACATAGGGGTCTCGGGGGGGAAAGTTGGGGCAACGTTTTATTTGAATGGTTATGTAGGTTGACTAAGATACCTAAAGAACCAGACATACATGTTGGTTCAAATGTGGAATATGATCATTGTCAGATGAAATTGACCCCAGAGGATAAAGGGTGTAAAGTAAATCTGAGGATAACAGGAGGGTTAAGTTCACCATGTGAATGCCATTTTGAGTTTCTTAGCACGCTAGCTTTGCCATTTATAGCTCGCTGCAACACAGTCCCAAAGTACAGCCTTGCATGCTATTTTGGGTAATGGTTTAATTATCTAGCCTAAGAAAAAACCAACAACCTAGCATCATCTTAAATTAAAGATAATTTGTTCGCCTTTAGGGAACTTCGGTGATTGTGGTGCTTTCAGAAAACCCCTTTCTACTTTTGATAACAGAAAATATCTCAAAAGGCGACAAAAGCTCAGATAATGACTTAAACACAAACCTAAAACCGGGGCCATGGTGGCTGGAGACAAATACTGGAGAGATAAACCATAAAAGGGGGGAGGGCATTGTTTATTATTACTGATAAGGTTGCCTTTTGGCATGAAGACTCACACAGGTGTGATCCCTCAACTATATCTCAACTTTATGATTAACCTCCATTCTGAGCTACAACACCCCTCCCACAATACTCACCTCCTTTTTTCTCCAACCATGATACTTTGCTCAAAGTTGCATGTCAAGCCATTGTTCTCGCCTCTCCTTCTCTTGTCTCTCCCTTCCCAGGGGAGCTTTACGGCCGTGACAATAAAAACAGCTGTAGCACCAGAAACTGGTGCCAGGCCCCACAACTCCCAAATGTTTTCAAAGGCTTGGTCATAAATTAGGGCTGGCAGACAGGCCTCTTAACCGCCAGACCCCGAGAGGAGCCTCCACTGAGTCGTGGCTTGTCAAGAGGAGACAATTATTTGTATTTACTCACTCGTTCTGCGTACCAGCTTGAGTAAATATGAACAGCAAGTGTGAAACTTTTAACGCTGTACTAAATGTTAAGGGTCGGTCAGTAGATAACCGGAACAACCTTTGAGCATGAACAACCCGAGGGTATAATGTTTTCACGGGCCAATAAATCTCCATGTAATGTTTGCATAACATTTTAAGGCCCAAATCTATAGACCATACACATTCCAAGGTCAGCATGAATCTTAATCTCAAAAATCAATTTTCAAAACTCTTCAAGGCAACATCTTCTATATATTTTAAGTTAAATCTCTCCTAAGTGTTGTGCCTTGTGTAAAAACATTGTATTCACAGAGCCAAGCATGTAGTTTAATTAATAAATAAACCTATATATATTTAGATGGATTCATAACACCTACAGCTGTTCTGCATTTCTAGAATCTACAAAGACTTTTCCAATCATCCGGGTGAAAAGGAAAAGCTGCATGATGAAAAGATTGCTTTTAAGCGGATGGTTAGAAGAATCATTAAGGATTCTAGGAATTCAACAGCAACTTCTGAGATTTTCAGCAGCATAGCTTTATGGATAGCATATATTTAATTTGTTGATCCACCACTTTGAGACAATTTAAAATATTGCAACATTTACTGGATTAATTCGCACATCATTCATGGTCACCAGAGGATAAATCCTTTGGTTTACTTTTTAGTGATCGCAGACTTTTATTCTAGCACCATTATAAGGTTGAAACGAGTCGATTTTGTGTGAAATGTCTCGACAACAATTAGATTGATTACCATAAAATGTTCGACAGACATTCATGTTCCCCAGGTGGTGACTCCCTGACAATTTATTGGGTCAGAACTGTATTATCCAATATGTTGTTTTATGACTGAACACCTGCACAACTAATGATAACAATTTTGAAAATGGCAAACCTTACTTCTAAACATCGGAATGCCTCCACAGCTCTATGACTGTGTAATAGCAACACATGGGAGGCTCTATATTAAATTAAACATTTCCCAACCAGCAGGAAAACTAGGCTTTTATTAATTTATCATCATCTGCGTTTAAACCGAGCGGGACATTGTATGTAACTCAAATCTGCCAGGAGGCCATGAGGCGCAGCAAGAAAAATCCACAATTCAGAGTAGCTTTGGCATGGCCAGCTGGAGTATCTCTGCATCTCTGGACTGAGTCATACCTCACTATCAGCAGGACACATGACGATCCAGTCCCTGTCTGCCTGCTAGCGTATGTTACTACTCGGAAGAGCCAGGACTATCTGCCTTACTGGGCCGTTGGGAGGTTACCTAATGTTATTGAAGCTATTTGTAGCATTTATAAGCCTCCGTGCTGCCCTAAAATGTGAACCCGGTGTCCTTTAAGTATCAAAGAAGCTGTTTATGAGCAGTGAAAGAACAATCCCATGATTGACTTTTTAACCTCATCCACATTATTTTTATTCAGCGATTATGTACTGCATGCTCGGATTAAATGTCGTTTTATTGTAGCGGCATGTTTGGAAGCTCTTTCATTCCCTCTTTTGCCTGAATCCTGCTTCAGTGCCTATAAAAGCTTAAGGTGACTGCAGGGTCAGACTGGGCTGATGGGAAGGAAGCACCTTGGTTACACAGACTAAAGTCAGAGCTGCTGGGCCAATCCGGGCACATTTTGGTCCCCTGCCATCGCCGGCGGTCGGGGTGTGGTCTTCTCTTCCCGAAAAAGTATTGTCACATACTTTCTTCCAGGATCATCCTACTTGTTCCAGCTCATGCTCTGGTTTCCTGTTCGTGTGATTTAGTCACTTTCCTTTTTTTTATTCATACCCACATCCACATTTGTTTTGGGTTGCCTCTCTAAACCATCTCTGTATCATATCTCCTGTTTCGATCCAACTCTCTCATCTTGTCATTACTGTTCATCATTCTGTGTCTGTGTCAAATCTCCATCTCTTTCAGAACCGAGCCTCGATTACTAACTCCATCTCTCTTTATTTGCGTCTCTAGATGGGTTTGAGGTTTTGCTGTGAAATGTGTGGGTGGGGAAAAAAAGAGTATTTTCTCTGCAGAAAAATGATAACCTATCATTTTTCAGTCTTGTTTTCAGCCTGTCGAGATGGATTTTCTCCCAGCAGTGTCACTGAGTGTCTCTGGGAAAGCTTTTTGTATTGTGTTTTAAGGTCTCAGTAGGGCCATGCTGCAGGCTCAACCCAATGGCCCTTCTCTCACTCTGTCTCTAACCCCATAGGTTTTCTTCCTGTTCCTCCTCTCTTCATTTATCTGTACTTTATCAATGTGCCACTTTGGAGCAGAAAGTGAAGAACATTCTGTGCACGTTTGTCATCTTTCTCAGACATCTGTCAAAATCCTTTCCTGTCGATGACAGACAGTGCAATTATGAAAATCACTTGTAAGTGGCTTTCATAACCCAAAACCAGAAGATAGAAAAAATCCAAGTGAGAGGATTTTGAAGTTGCCACTTAGACATGTTACATCACTGGGATATTTTAGCTTACTTTCACACATGAGTCAAGTGGACAAAACTCACCACTTTGTGATACAAGAGCAAAAACACCATTTATATGATTCATAGCAAACCAGCCTCACATATTCAGTGTAAAAGAACTGAAACTCAACTTTGATGTCACATTATTTCTGGTATAGTTTATGTAAGCTTTTAACTCAAAGTTATCCGAATTATATAATACAAATAGGATATGGTAAAAACGACTGTGTACAACTTTGATTCCTACAGCTACATAAGAGAGCATATTATTGCCAGGGAAAGAAATGTTTAGGACAGCCTTTGATACATCTATGTCTGTCCATCAGATTAAACTTGATTTCCCCTGACATCATGTAAAGGGTTATGTCTGGGATGAAGCTTATGTACTGTATATTGGAAAAGACGTGTGGCCTAATCTGATTTATACTTCTGTCTCCTAGCCCGCAGAATACAAATGAACAGATGGATGTCTTGAAAGCTGGATTCAGAGGGAATGATGACAAAGAAAAAGTGATTTACTATTTCACATGTGATTACGAGTAAAGATATAACTGCCTACCAAGTGAAGCCTTTGGTGTAATTGCCAAAGTAGAACATTTGCTGGTAAATAACAGGTTGCCTTTCATCCAGTCTGCTCTTGCAACAGCTTGCAGACATTCATGGGGGGTGAAGTTGCAAGGCATGATGGGGCTGCAGCCAAACGGCACTACAGGCATAGCTTGCTCACAAAAAAAATGCCAAGTCTTTTGCATTTGTTCTGAAGTTACAGGAGCTTTTTGAAACCCTATAATGATGCCTTGGCCGGGCTATGCTTTGTGCCCAGCGGGAACTTACTGAAAATGAGCATAGGCAGCAATTTACGGCTCACACAAAAGAAGTGGGCTTGCCAACATCAGATTAGTCCATAGCTTGCATTTAGCTTACATTTTCTGATTTGAGAATACATAAGGGGATGCTGTATATGTATACTATCATGTCATTAACTACACAATGGGACAAAAGAGATCTGTTTCTTGCACAGTATATATATATATATAAAGTCCTAAGGTCATGTGGATTATTCAAGGGAAAGGAATGCTTCTTATATGGAAGCATTCATGTACATACCTCCTGGCCCTATCTGGACCCCCAACCCAAAAACACGTGTCAGAAGAAAACATGAAGAAAAATAGACTCAATTTTAATTTTGTTCCAGTTATAGCATCTGAAATTGCACAATGGAATGTACACTTTTTCACAGATAAAATCTAGTGCGTCTATACAGAAAAGCCACACACACACGGTCCCCACTGTGTAGTCATGATACAAATTGAAGCGTCTGAACATTCCCCATGGTCTTAAGTGAGATTGTCCCATTGTTTGGTTTCATTTGTTAGCATTTCAATGATGGGCAACTTGTTACAGATGAAACTTAAGCAGAGCAGTGATTTTCAGGGGTGTTTAACCATGTGTAGTTATTAACCAAACACAGCACCTATCACAATTGTGCTTGTTTTATCTGGTTTGAGATGTGTTCATCAGTAAAACCACCTGCTGTTAAAGGACCCAAACAGAATATGGTGTTGTTAAATAATATGTTGCTTCATACAAGTAGGTATCAGGCTGTTTATTTCTCATTTCCAGAAGACCATCTGATCAGTATTTAATCTGTAAGAGATGACACTGAAAAATCACAAACACTGCTGCATAAATGGTTATTGTGATAGATGATTATTCAATGTCTGCTGTAAACAAAAAAAGAGTGTACAAGTTCAAAGTTTCATCCAACACATCCTAAACAACAATGTGTTCTGTATTCACTATGTTGTTAGTAAAAGTAGTCCGTGCATCCCTTTCAGTCTCTCAAAAACGTCTACATAGTCCTTTAGAAGCTCTATATCTTTAAGCCCTTTTTCCTCAAGTCCTGTTTGGCTTCCTGTATCTGCCCCAGCAGCTCGGCGGACGCCTCATCACAGTCATTGAAGGTGGCCACTCGGTACCCCACCGTGCCCAGGGAGTAACAGCCGAAAGACACCAGCAGGTACAGGGGCATCGGCCAGGCCGCCTCTCGGTAGCTCTGCGGCAGCCTCTGCTCCAACAGGTCGAAAGACACCACAGCCCAAGCCGCTAACACCAGGGACACGCCGAGCAGCCACTCCAGAAGTTTAGTCATGTTGAGAGCAGCAGCGGGGAATTCAGGTGAGCCGCCGGGAAAACAACCTGAAGGAGGAACGAACGTTTGAAAGGCTGTTAGGCAATTAGCTTAGCTTTAGCACACCAAAGTAGCCGCACGTTAGCTATGTGGCAACAACACACGAGAAAGACAGGACGAAGACTACGGGAACATAACAGTCGTACACAAGCAACTCCAATAACATTTACATTCGTGTTGATATCATTTCAATTTCAATAAACAGGTTTAAAGGAAGTAATCCGATGTGTTTACCTCCGCTCTAAAGCCACCTCAGCTCTGCGCAGATTTATGACGTAGACCGAAATGCCTTGTGGGAAACGTAGTCCCTGATGTGTTGGGACCTCTATTATACATCCATGGTTGTGACAGATACAGGGGAATATTACCTTTGTGTCGATAGATATGCATAACATGGATTTTTTTCCAGTGGCATTTAAGATAAAACAACACATCTATCCATCTATCTATATATATTCTCAAAGGGACCAAATGGCAGTAATACAAGTGCTGAGTGGGTTGTTATTTCTCTGGCATGTAAATCCATCAACACCATAGTAGTGCCAGTTTTTTTTTAACATAGCCTACATACATTAATGTAGATATAAAAAAGTGACTATGTTGGCTGCAGAATAACTAAAAAAGAAGCGTTTATAAATCCCTCAGTTACCTAAATAATTGTCATAGTCTTTTGCAAAATTCATTAATCGCCAGCAAGTTTTAATCTGAATTCACACATTAATAAATATACAAATGTGGACCTGCATCTACATGTGTAGTAATGCAATCATATTACTTTTATCATTGAATTAACACTATATTCTAGGCCATTAAGTCCTTTTTTCTTGCTTGTCCCAAGATTATTTTATTGTTACATCTCAATTATACAAGAGTATAATTGTTTGTGGAGTGAGAAGACAGTGGTCTGAAAGATGAATTACTACATGCCTCATTCTACTTTGAAAAATCTCAAATGGTTGTCGCTGTCATTGTTTTTCATTAAAACGCTGCCCTACACTGTTGTCTGATAAATTAACAACAGCGGCACCCTGTCAGCTGAGAGACACAAAACAATTTATTTCAACTGAGTCTATAATGAGGCCCCAGTCAGGCTTTTAGCACACATTAGACCTTTAACTGTTTCTCTGTGCCATCCCCTTAATTTAGAAAAGCCATTTTAAAAATTAGTTTACCATTAGTACTAGCTGAGAGCTATCCATAATGTTATTCCAAATCCTGAGAATGCAACAACAATTTCATTAGGGGCCTCGGGGAGCACACTGTTGTTTGATCCCAGAGTCTCTTTAGGTGCTGAGGGGCACTTCTGTTCATTCAGGGCGGTGAACTGTCCAGGTGCAGAGGGCACAGACCTCTCCAGGGCGAAATCAGGAGGAGTGGGAGATGTAAACATCATTCAGCAGAGAGCCACTGAGAAATAAACATCATTCTTTGGGGGAAAATGGAGAGTTATTCTTAGGACGGTGGTGTTTATGTTTGTCTGCACCAGTGTTAATAGTGTAAGCGACGATCTGCGCGTCTGTCTGCCAGAAGGGCAAAGCCTGTTTCTTCTGTTTATGGAGACAGTTATGTGCATGGCTAGAAGATAGTTAGTGTCTTTGTCTGTTTGCTGAAACATAAATCTGTAAATCTTTCCAAATCTGCTACAGTTTGAGTACGGTTTATCTTTGTGGCTTTGTGTAGCAGCCATGATATCTGCTATTGTCTGCCCATGATTATTCAGTTGTATTGTACTACCAAGGAGCTGCAAATAAGTATTACTTTCATAATTGATAAGTTTACTATTTTTATTTATCTTTTCATAATCTAATAGTAAATGAAAAAAACAAAATAAATGGATCGAAAGTAACATCTTCCTATTCACCATGAAAATCCACTGCCCTAAAATGATGGGTATATCTCATATACATCATATAAATCCTATATACAGTAATGATAATAATGATGATCTCATATGTTGACCTGGACTATGAAAATTAGCCGATTAACTAACTTTGGGTATTTACAATGATGTGGAAACTAAAATGAGGTTTAATGTTCGCTGTCCGGGTTAAAGAATAAATTATGATATTCAATTTCCAACATTATAAAACTTAAATTCTGTATTTGAATTCAAAACTAATACATGTTTTGCAAACTTGCAAAAATAATCTATTCTGTAGTTATCAACAATGTTGTCCTTAAATTGTCTTTTAATCGTATTGCCTAAATGGTGTCTCTAGTGGTAAATTAAATGGTGGGGACTAAAAAACATCTTCAGAATGAAATCAAATAATAAAATGTATGAATTAGTCCCTGTGTTGAGGCAACTCAAAACAGCCTGGAGCTACTTGCCACACTGAGTAAGATGTGATACATACCAGACTGTAAAGGTAAGGTTTCTTTTCATTTAGTCCATTAATTAAACTGAATCCAGGTGGGATTACCCCTGACGTGCTGCATCATTACATACATCATAGTGTGTGCTGTGTCCTGCCTGTGTTGCTTCAGTGTGACGCTCAGTGGGAACAGTGGAGCTGGATTTTCTCAGTGTTTCTCCCTGCCAGCTCCTGTTCCGTTCCAGGACTCAGGAAACCTGCGCTCCAGCCGAGAAAGCCTGGCAGACAGAACACAACAGCATGTGAGCTGAAGGGGCTTTGAAACAGAGATAGAGCGAGAAAGAGAGTATGAAGGTGACAAGGAGAAAAGACACAGAAAAGGAGACAGCGAATCAAAGTGAGACGGGTGAAGCAGTGGCAGCAGTTCATTTTGAACCAGAAAATAAAGTGTGCAGGGGGGGGATTTCATAGCTGACAGGGCAGCAGCGAGAAAGCTGAGAGGGCCAGGAATGAAAAGAAAGGGGGACTGAGAATGTGGATGAAAGAGGAGAGGGCAACAGAGACAAGAGCAGAGGAGGGGAGCAGGCATGGGAGAGAGGTTTAGACGAGGGTTGGGGGGGTGAAATCAGGGGATTTGCAGGTGCAGCTTGAACAACCAATGACCTTAACGGTGCATTAAATCCAGCTGTTGCTTATCCAGACTGTTCTTCAATCCCCCTAACACCTTCCACTGCGCAATAGGCTGCATGCAGCACCTTGGTTCCCACAATGCAGTGTGGGTAGAGATGCATAGCCGGAAAAAATTAGAAAAAAGCCTGAAAGCGGTGTGTGAGAGGGATCAGAAAAGGCACAACGATGGAAGAGGAGATACTTGATCCTCACGTGCAGAAATATAAGTGACTGTGCCACAGAGCAAAGATAAGAGGCATAGATAAAACAGGAACATAGCTAATGGAGATTTGTGTTAACTCTATCTCTCTGGCATTGTCAATATTAGTAGAGTGAAAGGTCCCGATAAGAAGGTGTGCTACTAAAGAGCTATAGGAGTCAAGATATGGTTTGATAATAATTCTGTTGTATCTCAAGTGTGTGAAGCAAGAGCTGGAGAGGCAGGGAAAACCAGGAGAGAGAGAGAGAGAGCATGTACTGTCAAAAATGCTGTTTAAGATAACAATAGAGCTCTGACTCAAAAACAGGAACCCTCTGTTTCCTGAGTTGGAGACCATAGCTGTGTGTTATGTTGTCGTTAGATGAGTGTGTAGATGTGTTTGGGAAAGGGAAAGAGTGACTAAAAGTGCGTCACTTCCAGGGATATCGCTGGTGGCAGAGCGAGAAGTGATACTGGTTTGGTGCCACAGAGAGGTGAGCCTGGCAAAACAAGCTCAAGATCTTTAAAGCTTTAGCTATGAAATGTAGGTATGGAAATAAAATAAATCAACTGAGAAACATTCTCAAACCTCTTAGAAGTTGTCAAAAATCTATTTAAATGTCACATCGTTGATTCAAAATGAAGCATTATTTAAAAAAGGCCAAACCTCAATCAGGAGAAACTTTACAATTGAACCATAAATTGATGATATTCTAGTCTGAAAAGCTGAGCTGACCAGTAACAAAGCTCTTTTTAAGAGTTTTTAGGCCAATTACAGTCTTAAGTCACTCGACAGAAGTTTATACCAAACCTTACATCTTGTAAAAAGATTAACACCAGTTTCTAGAGTTGTCTTTGGCTGAGAAAGGAGATACATTATGTTAAAAGCTTATATTTCCTCAGGCATAACTATTTAATAGGGCGACTGGGTTCATTCTTATGCCGTCTTCACCAAAGCAGACAGTAGTGTGGCAGGCTCCACAACTAATGCATTTCTATTGATGTGCGAGTAATAAATAATAACAAATAACTCACATTCAAGAACACTTTGGTTGAATGCAAGCAATCAGCTTGTAGACTTCCTACAATCAGTTCGTACGTGTGTTTTCTCAACTCCGACGTCACATCTTAAGTTACTAATTGAAAGTTTGTAGGACGACTTTGCAAGAGTCTCTTCGGACAGGCGAGGTGACCACGAATCAAAGTAGAAGCATCAGGGTGGAGAGCCCCTTGATACGGCGCATCAGGGGTCCCGAATTCATAGCAGGGCTTCTGGGAGTTTTGACTTTGACAAGCACACTGCTCATAAATATCCTTGAGCCAAGATAATTTACTGACGGGGACAGTCTGTATTTAATTGCTGGGATAATAGTTGTGAGACCCCTGCGCTACTTAGGGCCTACTTAATAAAGTCTCGGGCTCCTCAACTGGGTGTAAGGTCAAACTGCGGTCAAGTGTGACCGGTCTGAACCATGTGAGAATAGCACTTGTGTTGCCCTCGGTGCCCCACGTAAAGACACACACCTGTTTCAGCTGCTGTTGTGTCGGCCGCAGTGGTACAGCTAAGGAATTCCCTCCCCCTACTCCCCCCCTCAGCCCCTCTTTCTCTCTCTCCACGCTCTCAATGCTGTTCTAATGAATCTCATCACACGGCCTGTGTTTGTCCCACTAGTGCTTTGTTTGTTGACCTTTATAAGACGTCATTACTTATTATCATCATGGGTTGTGTAATTCTGCCCTATAACACAACCCCCTCAACCATGGCCCACAATATGTGTGTGTGTGTGTCTGATCAAATGCTTCTTGTCAGTGTAACAGCCATTAACAATGAACAACGGCCATAAGCTGATGTCTCCCTCCTCCCTCTATCTTTCCTCTGCACTCACCCTGGGACACAATGTCCTTTAGCATTACCATTATTGACAGTGTAACTAATTGGCACATGGTTATGAAAGTTCCCCCTGGCCATTTTAAATTGGATGGGACAATTTCCTTCAACATCCGATAGGCGAGTCGGCGCACGAGACCTCGGGAGGTATTGATTATAAATGTATCAATGTGGGTCAGTGCTCGGCGCTCAGCAAGGGGCGGATGATGTGGGGCTTCATGTCT